TTTTCACCTTTGACATATAACCTGCAATCTTTTCATCTTCTCCCATCTACATCAACTTAAATTGTCATCACAAAGTCTGTAATTTGATGACTTTGACTTTCTCACCTCCTTCATAGTAACTGACAAGAATTTCTCATGCCTCTTTTGTTGATTTAGCATGAGATATCTTGTCAAAATTCTTCGAATCTACTGCTAATTAAATAAAATATGAGGCATTGTAGTCTTTCTTCTTCGCCTCCTTGTTCGCAAATCTCTAAGCATCGGTTGCATTCTCAGAAAGCTCAGGGACGCCATTAGTAACCACTTCTAGGGTTTTATGAAAGTCAAACAAGGACTTCATCTGATTGCTCCATCGGTTCCAATTTTTGCCGCCAAGAATTAAAAGAGAATTTGAAATGCCATTAGTATCATTCATCTTTGCAGCGATAGATTAACAATCCACAATCTCGAAAACACGATCACCAACGTGTGATTTTTAAAAACACAATCAAGAACCGAATCAGAACTCTAGATACAAATTTGTTAATGCGTGAGGCACTTTTAGTGAGGAGAGAAAGAATGAGATAATGAAAATAAGAATTGATATTACTGAATTATGATTATACAAACTGAATTATAAAATATGTTTATTTATATACAACTAACTTTTATACTAAGTAACAAATCCTAAATCATAATTAACTTTGGACTTAGACTACACAACTTAGATGGTTAAGTGGATAATTTGCTTCCTAGAGGTATGAGATGTAGAAAATATTTCCTAAATGGTATCTTTCTTGAAGCTCTTGCCATAATATGTAGGTTGTGTCCATCAAGAACACTTTCTGAGATTTCACTCTCAATAGAGTTGGAAATCTATGCCATCACCATTGTACTGCAATATCCCAAACAATTTGGTGCAATTTAAAGTTGTTGTTCAAATTAGGATTTCATACATAAACCATAATTTGTTATTGGATTAAAGAGAAACTTTAATTGAAAGGGACCAATAGTGGCAGTTAGACTTGTTTAAGGATGGAGAAACCGGAACAAGACCATGATTATCACTATGGTGCATGAAGAAAGGATTTAACATATCATTTTGCTAATTTCAATTAGGGTTTATGTTTGGATTGCAAGTATGGTTAAGGTCAATTGTGATAGATAAGGTAGTAGGTTTTGATGGGTTTGATAATCATGGTGGTGATGTGAGTGGAGAAACTGAGGTTTCTTCAATTGCACCATAAACGGAGCCCATCATTGAATAAATTGAGAGCATTTGATGGAGAATAAAAATGTGTGGTTTTCTTGCAATGAGAGAAATAAATGAGCAAATGAGTGATCAAAGATAATAGATGATAGTAGGATATGGATAGAGATGAAATTTACACGGTCATTAGGATAGAGACATGTACAAATAAAGGTAATAGAGGATATCAGAGCAATCTCACTCTCTAACATCATGTTGAAATTTGACAAAAGTGGATTCTTTCCTAATGAAGAAAGAAAAAGAATGTGAAAAAGAAGTTATAGGTTGGGCTTATTGCCTTTAAATAGGCCCATTTAACCAAAGTTTGTTAGACATAAATTATCTCTAGAGAATTTCTTATCACATCCCTTGGGGTTCTTAGGCACCATGTGTGCTTCCAAAAATACCCCTTACTTATGGAGATGTATCTCCGAACGCACCTTTTTTTACTTAACGTTGATTTTTTTCGGAACTACATCTACGGAATGTTTTTGTTTATATAGCTCCAGAACAAATCATAATACATTCACGCCAGAGTCCATTCTCCTTCCTCATTCTTTATTTTTCAACTTCTCACTCTCAAACTCTCCAAACTCTCTCAATCCTCAAAAAAAACTTTTTCCACCAAACATAATTATTTTCAATCAAGTTCAACAAGGAGCATTCATCTCAATGATCAAGACACTCCAAATCATTCAAAGCTTGTTATAATCGGTAAGTTTTCGAGTTTCCGAGGTATTTTCAAGTATTTTTCGTATACGAGTTAGAATATAGTTTTAGGGGTAGAAATCGTTAGATAGTTTTAGAAACATAGTTTAGAGACAATGTAAGTATTGTTTGTTGGCTGAAACGGATGATCAGGGGTTCAAAAAACCGATTTTCATGGGTGGGGGAAGCCATTGATGTTGTTGTTGGAGTTGCAGGAAGTTCCGGAGCTACATCTACAGAACAAATTAACGTTAGGGAAATTCCGTAGATGCAGCTCCAGAACAAGTCTAACTTTCTAAATTCTGGATTTTTCCGCATGTATACATCCGGAAGTAAAAAAAAATTGTTTATTTTATTTTTGTTTTTTATTTTTTTATTTAATTGTATCTAACTGTTTTTTATTGGTTATACCCTGCAGACATTATGGCAGACAGAGAAGATAGATTGCGATTTGGACGGGTTTCACAACATGCATCTGTGAGATGCGAGCGAAACCAGACCACCATTACCGAGGTCAATACAGTTGACGAAAATATTTCTCCATCACATGCCCAAGACATTTCCTCGACCTCGTATCACACCTCATCATCCACTTCTTCATCCCGGAGGCGTTGAGATTCAGCTGAGGGTTCACCACTGGCTCCGTCCTCCCGCGGGCCTTGTCAGGATACTCCTAGTTCTCCTCCTGATGTTGATTTGGTGCCACCTCTAGAGGGTGATGACCCACCACTGGAGGATGCTGGTGACAACGACGATGATGAGTCTGAGGGTTTCCCAGGGGGTCCCTCAGATATGTCCCTACTAACAGGGTATGCCGACCATACTGCCATACATGTTTGGGATAGAGAGATAACATTACTCGTATTATTTATTTATTTTCATTGAAAATTTATAATTTGTATCATTGTTTCTTATTAACATTGTTTCTTATTTATGGAAATTTTCATACTCGTTAGCCGCAGAAGTTCTATAACCACGGGCGAAAGATATTATCTTTGGAGCATCCACGTGAGGCTTGGTTCCAGGATGTCCTTGTTGCCTCTGGTTTGAAGGACCTTTATGAGATGGATTACAACGTGATCCACAACGGGATACTGATGGGCTTTGTGGAGAGATGACACCCTGAGACGTCTTCCTTCCATCTGTCGCACGGCGAGCTCACGATCACACTGGACGATATCTCCTGTCTGCTATATATACCGATCAGGGGTACCCTCCTCCTTCACGATAGGATGATGAAGGAGGATGCGAGAGAGATGTTGGTCGAGGAGCTTGGGGCTGATCCACTAGATGCGCTGAAGGAGGTGGATAAGACCAGAGGGGCTCATGTCAGGTTCTCCTTTCTCACCCGTAGATTTGGTGAGGCGTTTGTTACTGCACGCCAGGCAGATGGTGATCCAGTTGAGGTTGAGATACACAGACAGCGTGTGCTGAGATGCTATTTTATATTTTTAGTCGACACTCAACTGTTTGTGGACACTTCCTCCACATATACGCATGTCGCTTACCTGAGGTACTTTTGGATCCCACACGGATCCATGAGTACAACTGGGGGGCGGCTACTCTGGCTTACACATATTGGAGGCTGGGAGAGGGATGCCTGTGGAAGACCAAGACTGTGGCAGGGAGCGTGACACTACTTGTGGTAACAATCTTATATCCTTCAATTTTTTCATTTTTTTCATTCTATATTCGAGGTAATGTTTGATCCTGATGTTTTTTATTTTCATTTTAAGCTTGGATATTTCAGCACTTTCCCATGATCGCGGGGTGGGGGGAGTGCACCTGATTACACAAAGCAGATGTCGTGTGCCCGTTCCTTTCTCCTGCTCAGGGGGAACCAGGTGGTCGACCCTTATAGAGTCTATCTCGACCGCCTAACACTGAAGACATCCAGTACGATGTCTATGTTGATCACTGTGTGACGGCCCATTTGACGACATCTTCATATTCTCAAGATGGTTGGCATTCAGTTCGACCATCATTGTTCCATATTTTCCTAAGCGTGTCATGCGGCAGTTCGGCTACACTCAAACCATTCTTAGACACCCAATTGTCTTCCCTTCTCTCAGCTTAACTCGTATGCAAATAGAGGAGATTTATGTCGACTACTAGAGACACATGGTACCTTACGGATGTATGTCATTTTATATTCATCTACAGCAGTTAATTTTCATCTGCAATCAACAAAACTTGATTTTTTAAAATAAATTTGTTCCGATAAAATTTCAGAATTGCATCTCCAAAACCTTTTTCATAGATGTATATCTGAAAATATTTAGCATAAAAAAAATAGTGTGTCCAAATATATATTTATGAAAACAAAGAGCATAAAAAAAATTTCATTATGTGCCTAAGAATATTAAAAGATGGATTAAAAAATTCTCTAATCTCTAACATACTATTACAAAATAGCTAACACAATTAAGTAAATTGATAATAATAGATGAATGAAAAATGAACTTTGTAGTTAAATTGTAACATAATATGACATCAGAGAGGATACAAATTGTTGAATTAAGATAGACATGGATATTTCATCTATGTAGAAAGAGTTGTATTCATCGTTGTAAAAATAATAATCATCTAGTATCCTATATGCTACTTATATTGTTTACACTTTTGCAATTCTATTGTCCATACAAATCATAAACAATTAAACAACACCATAATTTTATTTACCAACGCTAACCAATATAATATTCAGCAAGTGACCAAACATATAAATTAGTTTATCATGAGCAAGATCGAAGGAGAATAGGCTGTATCTGACAACTTGAACACAAAGGTGAGCCATTAGCCAAGATTAACCAAGGATTGTCAAAATCTGGCAGATGTGACCATCAGTAGTAATTGATAATTGGATTAGCAAATTCTAACAGAGGTTGCTATCAGTCATTGAATAATTGTCAAAAGTCATTTATATCTTGAAAATATCACCATCTTCTGTAGAAGAAACTGATTCTCCACAAGCCACAACACCAAAATTTGAAATCATCACCATTTGTGCAGAAGAAATTAACCCCTTTCATATTAGGACGCCTCAAAAAGTCATTTATAGTTATCAGCCACGAACTTCTTCAAAATAACAGGCTGGCAACTCTGGAAGGGAAGGCAAGTTTGTTACACATTTAAACTGTTCCAGAGAATGATTTCACGTCAATACACTTGAAATAATAAGAATTAACCACTACAACAACAAAAAAGTACTCAAGTAAAAAAAATTACCTTGTTCTGCTTGTATTTGTCGCGAACAGCTTTCAAGGATGCTGCCCTTCTTGACATATACAAATCATGTAGAATGGTGACACATTCTTCCAAATCTTCAGATTCATAACCCAGTGATTCATAAAGGGACAAGGTCTGCAATAGATTCAAAACATTGAGTACATTGAAAGGCTACACTTTTAGACAAACAAATAGATTATAGGTCATAACATCAAATATTTACCCAAGGATGTACTCTAGGCCGGATAATAAATTTGGCAAGAAATAGAACAGAGGCAGCCACAACAGAAGGCAAGAATTTTAGACACTCATAATCAAGCAAGCTTAAGTCAGAAAGATAGTTGCACAAATATTGAAGCTGCAAATTGGAAGTCTGCAATTAAAACAATTAACAATCAATTAGTATCACTATGAAAGCATTAGACAATGTTAACTAGTAATGGCACAGCATTTCAACTTACCTTTCGATTATCAGAAGCAATTGCAACAAACCTCCTAAAGTGAAACAAAAGAAATTGCAAATAAATATAATTAGTATAAGTAACCTCATTAAAGAAATTGCAAATAAATATAATGAGTATAAGTAACCTCATTCAAGCAAGATTTATATATTAAAATCTACGATATGAAAAAGATCCTTACTTTAAAAAAGTTGTGACATTAGGGTTTCCCATTTCAAAATTTAGGGACTTGAGTACGTGGGCTTCCATCTCTAAAACCTAGATTAACAGCAATAAGTATGAGAAACAAAGCAACAAAAAAAAACCATAGAAAATTTGATACAAGAGTAGGGAAATGAGTATGATATTTACCTCAGACAGTTCATATGTGTTATCAGTAATTTGGCAGAAATCCACCGCTTTTGGTGGAGTAATTTCTTCATACTTCCTGCATATTTAAAAGTGATTAAATTTTAATGCTTAAGCAAACCAACACGACATTGATAATTTTGGGAAAATAATAATAATAATATAAAGTTGTTGAGATCTTACGATGCAATGAGCATAGCGGAAACACCAAGCAACTGAAGCTTGGATCTATTAACAGATTCAATAGATAAGAATCTGTCAATGTAAGAAACAGCTAGGTGAAGGGTTTCTGGGAGAAGTTTATATTCATCAGCAACCTCAACTAACCAATCAACTAATGCTCCCCTCATGTTTGTAGTAATGCATGTCTGAACATTATCCATGTAATCAACAGCTGGTCTTCGTTTTTCCTGAGTCTGAGAAACAAGCAATCCATTAATTTAAACACTCGGAAATTGTCAATGAAATAATAACAATTTAACATAAAAACTAGGGGATTGGATTACCTCCATTGTGTGAAGATAATGGGAGATATCGGATACGTAAGGCTCAATAATCTGCCGACGATCACGTTTTGCATTGCTTTTGTTACAAAGAGACTTATCCAAATTGGAATTAGGAAGTAAAGAAATGGTTGAAGTTGATGCTGATTTGCTGAGGTTAGGGTTTTTTCGACACTGGCGTTTCTGTAGAGGCTGATAACCAGGAGAAACATTGAGATCTGGAAATTCTTCCAAAACAACCCGCCGCCTTTTGGGAACAAGGACAGACGGTGGTTGATTGGTGGTTGTCCTTTTCTTTGAAGCACGAGTCTCCATCTCTCTTGGTATAGCTCACTGTTGCTCTGAAACACAATGGAAGAGAAGTGCGAGATAGTAGAGATTTAGAATCAATGGAACTGAGCCTTTTTTTATATACTTAGGCTATGTTAGGTTTTCGCGCATGTGTTGGATTTGAAAATTGGCGCAATTTGGGTTTGGTTTTTTTTTTCTTTTTTGAATATGGCGGTCAAAGCGAGCGCTTGTTTTCTGCTTTCAATTAATTTATTAATTTAATATAATAAAATTCAAAAGGCTTGGGATGCCTCTATTCACTATGAAAAATGTTATCTTGATACCCTTCCCTACATTCCATTGTTTACCATATTTATACGGTCAACATTGTTTTTTTTATTAAAATAATATATTTTTTTAAAATATTAATTTTAAAAAAAAAATATTTATTTTTAAAATTTATTTTATAACACAAATATAAGATTACGCATTAACCAACTTCACAGTTGCATTAATCACAAAAATCTACATCATTAATCAATTATTTTTAAAAATTTTTTAAAATAATATATTATTTTAAAATCTATTCACTATAAAAAATATTATCTTGACACCCTTTCCTACACTCCATACATATACCGTATTTATACGGTGAACATTGTTTTATTATTTTAAAATCTATTCACTATAAAAATATTATCTTGACACCCTTTCCTACATTCCATACATATACCGTATTTATACGGTGAACATTGTTTTTTTTATTAAAATAATATATTTTTTAAAAATATTAATTTTTAAAAAAATATATTTATTTTTAAAATTTATTTTATAACACAAATATAAGATTACGCATTAACCAACTTCACAGTTGCATTAATCACAAAAATCTACATCATTAACCAATTATTTTATCTATAATTTATTAACCAATTTTACTATTTCATTAATCAATAAAATATATACCATTAACCATGTTTTAAGCATTTTTTTCATATATTTATGAACAGTAAATTGAATGTAAGGTGTAGGAATAGCAAACCTGATTCACTATTGGTCTTTTTTGAAATTTTTTATTAAAACACTCATCCCTTAAGCACTTTAACCTCTTCAATTTTTCAATATTATTTTAAATTTATTCTCAAATTCACCCACATATGGTACAGAAGAGAATGCGGTAGAGAAATTTCACTAAAAATACTGCATATTTCAGGTAAACAAAATTATTGTTTTTTTTTTCAAAACTAGAATTCATGTGAAATCTTTGGAATTCTTAAGAACTTTAGTGAATTATTCATTATTATATGGATATGTTTAATTAAGATAGATAATTTGATATTTTAATTTTTTAAATATAGAATTAATAATATGTGAATCACATGACAAAGTACTCTATGGCGTCGAGGTTTATAATGGATACATTGAAATATCAAAAATCATAAAAAATAATTGACAAATATATCAAAGGACCATACAAAGCACAATATGCATATTATTCTATTATGAGAGGTTCATGCACATAAATTGAGTTTAATTCATAATGAGAAGTTTGTGTATGGAACAAGAAATATGGAGGACTTTGATGTTGTGGATGATATATTCTAGAAATATCTTAATTCAGTGAAACTTTTGAATATGTTTCATTAGGTTTTTACTTCATGTACAAAGTTAACATATGTTGACTAGTACTTAAAATTGTTAGTGTTACTTCGACGGAGCAAATTGTTACTAACTTGACAGACGCACAAGACCATTTTCGACTCACCTGCAAAAATGAACAACTGAGCAAATTGGTTAGTGGTTAGTTAGAACGAAAAAGAATGGACCTAAAATGAAATGTTAAAAAGATCACCAATCTAAGGGTAAAATTTGGGGTACAACAGCAACCCCCATACCACATAGGATGGAGAAGTCACCTCTACTCTCCATGTACGATGGCACCTCGGATCCGAACGACCATCTAGAAGATATTGAGGCCATGCTCGACTACAGGAACGTCCGAGGAGCCATCAAGTGCGGACTCTTCCCGATGACGTTAAGGAAAGGAGCCATGGCTTGGTACAAAAGTCTGGAGCCTGAGTCCATCACGTCGTGGAGGGTCCTGAAGGATCTCTTCTCACAATATTTCACGGTGTCCCGACGCCATCCAAAGACGAAGGTCGCCCTGGGCGAGATCATCCAAGCCCCGGACGAGCCTTTCAGGAACTACATCGAGAGATTCACGAGGGAAACGGTCCTGGTAGCGACTTCAGACAACATGAAGCGTTACCTCATGGAGCAGGGCCTATGTCGCGGCTCCAAATTCTACCAGGTCGTGGCAATCCACCGACCAACCACCCTACGAGGCTTCCTCGAGAAAGCTCGCAACTACATCCGGTACGAGGAGACCGAGGCTGCTAATTCTGCTCGGGACTCTCGTAACTGCAAAAACCCCCCACGAGTCCCAAGAAGAGGGAGCTTCAGCCCCCCGGTGTGGGGGAGACCGATAACGAGACGTTCTTCCCTGAGAGCCCCGAGAGCAGAAGGGCCCCGCTAGACGCTTCATCGAATACAGAGTCCTAGTCGCTTCCCGCAAGCGCATACTGACTGAGTGCGCCAACTCGGAGTTCGTCAAAAGAGGTGTCCGTTTTCTCAAACCGGCACCCCCTAAGGCCAACATGGACAAGTCAAAATATTTCTGCTTCCACCGGGGTCACGGGCACGTCACGGAGGATTGCATCCACCTGAAGGACGCAATCGAAATACTCATCAAGGATGGATACTTGAAGAGATACACCAGGGGAGAAGATACCCATCGACAGGAGGCCCACAAAGCCAAAAGAGTCGAGGACATCCTTCCTCCCTCCAACGAATTCGGGCTACAGGTGGTGTAACACCCTGTTTCCCAAAATAAAATAAAACAATTAAATAAGCACACATCAGAGTGTCTCCCACAACGAGATGTCACAATTCACACTAAAATTCCACAAAACATTTTTTCAAATTAATTTCTCAATAAAACTGCAGCGGAAAAATATATACATAGTCTGCCATAAATCACAAAACATCATATATATATATATATATATATATATATGACGAGGATGATGGATATGGATGATATATATATATATATATATATATATATATATATATATATATATATATATATATATATATATATATATATATATATATATATATATATATATATATATATATATATATATATATATATATATATATATATATATATATATATATATATATATATATATATATATATATATATATATATATATATGACGAGGATGATGGATATGGATGATATATATATATATATATATATATATATATATATATATATATATATATATATATATATATATATATATATATATATATATATATATATATATATATATATATATATATATATATATATATATATATATATATATATATATATATATATATATATATATATATATATATATATATATATATATATATATATCATCCATATCCATCATCCTCGTCATATATATATATATATATATATATATATATATATATATATATATATATATATATATATATATATATATATATATATATATATATATATATATATATATATATATATATATATATATATATATATATATATATATATATATATATATATATATATATATATATATATATATATATGTCTTTTGGGCAGATGGCCATTGTTGTATGTATATATATATATATATATATATATATATATATATATATATATATATATATATATATATATATATATATATATATATATATATATATATATATATATATATATATATATATATATATATATATATATATATATATATATATATATATATATATATATATATATATATATATATATATATATATATATATACATACAACAATGGCCAAGTGCCCATCGTTGACATGTGCTCTTGTGAGGAGGGTTGATGGCCCGGTGCCCATCGTGGTTGTGAGTCGGTACCGTATGTTAAGAGTTGTATGAATGCATTTGTTGCGTGATTGTATATTGTGGTTGATGGTGGGACCGTGAGTCCGGATGATATGTATATGAAATAATATTATTATTAATTTCTGCCTTTCATTTCATGTACTATTATACCATTATTACTTGATCGTGATTCTCACCCCCTTTGCTGTTGTTGTGGTATGTGCTTCTTCGGAAGTACAGACAATCCAGGTGTTTAGCTAGCTTGGATTGTGGTGTCTCTGTAAGACTGCTCTGATACGTAACACCGGGGCCTTTTTGGGAGTTTTATCGCTTTATGTTGATTTTGTGTGCCCCTGTGGCGTATCCTGTTTGATGGTGATTGTAGATGATGCTATATGTCTTTTGGGCAGATGGCCATTGTTGTATGTATATATATATATATATATATATATATATATATATATATATATATATATATATATATATATATATATATATACATACAACAATGGCCATCTGCCCAAAAGACATATAGCATCATCTACAATCACCATCAAACAGGATACGCCACAGGGGCACACAAAATCAACATAAAGCGATAAAACTCCCCAAAAGGCCCCGGTGTTACGTATCAGAGCAGTCTTACAGAGACACCACAATCCAAGCTAGCTAAACACCTGGATTGTCTGTACTTCCGAAGAAGCACATACCACAACAACAGCAAAGGGGGTGAGAATCACGATCAAATAATAATGGTATAATAGTACATGAAATGAAAGGCAGAAATTAATAATAATATTATTTCATATACATATCATCCGGACTCACGGTCCCACCATCAACCACAATATACAATCACGCAACAAATGCATTCACACAACTCTTAACATACGGTACCGACTCACAACCACGATGGGCACCGGGCCATCAACCCTCCTCACAAGAGCACATGTCAACGATGGGCACTTGGCCATCAACCCTCCACTCAGGGAGCACTTCATACTGATGGGAAACTAGCCATCAACACTCCACAATGGGAGCACCACAACAATACCGATGGACACCTGGCCATCAC